TATAGGCCAGAAGAGCAAAAGCAACCTTCAGCAAAAAAGCAAAGCAGGAGGCACCACAATTACAGACTTGATATATTACAAGTCTGCAATGAGAAAAACAACATGATACAGCACAAAAACAGACCTGTAGATCTGTGGAATCCTACACATTTTTAACTATTTGATCTCTGACAAAGAGGCTGAAAACATACACGAGAAGAAAGACAGCCCCTTCAATAAGTGGTGTTGGGAAAATTGGCTATCCATTTGTAGAATGTGAACCTAGACCCACATGTTTCACCATATATTAAACTAAAATCAAAATGGATCAAAGAACTAAGTATTAAAACAGAAACACTTTACCTGCTAGAAGACAATGTAAGTAAAACTCAAAGTCAAAGGCATGGGCAACAGTCTTCTGAACACAACCCCACTTGCACAAGAAGTAGTACCCAAAATCACCATAAGGGATCATATCACATTAAAGCTTCCACACAGCAAAGAAAACAATCAACAGAATGAAAAGACAGCATGTGGAATGGGAACAATTTTGCCAGCTGTTCCTCAGGAGATATAGAGGAGGACTAATACATAGGATACCTAAGTTTTTAAGTTTTAAGCAAAACTTAAAACATTAGATCCCATCTAAAATGGCTAGTGAAATAGACAGACACTTTATAGCAGAAGTAAAAATGGCCAATAAACAGCCAAAATGTTCAACAAATGTGCCCTGTAAGATTATTTTATGAAATTAGTAATATTTCTTTATAATTGTGATATATAACTATAACTGTAATGTTAATACACGGAAAGACATGATCATGTTCATCAAAGCAACAAACCACACAATACAAGTGAAATCATAGCTGTGATAGAACTGTTCATATTAATGAAGGCAGAAGATCTTTAAGAAATACTTAATGGGCAGAAACAGAGATGTAAACAAATGGAGAGTATACTTATTTTTGATATTATAAAGATACAATCATCTAACCCATAAATTTAACATAATCACAAAGAAATTTCACTGAGACTTTTTCCTCTTTATTTCTTTCAGAAATTCATCAGACTTGTCCTAATACTTACAAATATTTTCTAACATTTACAAAGGTTTACAAAATTTTAGTTAATTTGACAAAATAAACAAACAAACAAAACCAGATGCATTGCCTTATTACATATGAACAAAAATCCTTAAGGCATAATTAAAATATCACTGCATAGGTGCAGTCACAGACTGCACAAGTGAAAGGAGAAATGATTTACTTTGACTCACAGTTTGTAGAGGTTTCAGTCCATAGTTGGCTGTTTCCAGGGGAAAGGGGAAAGGGGAATGGCAGAGAAGAAGAGTGCATGGCATTGCAGGCAGGAGGCAGCAAGACTACTGTCTTCTTTCCTTTTTGATTCCATCCAGGCTACAAGCCTATTGGTTGGGGCCACCCATACGCAGGGTGAGTGTTCCCTCTTCGGACTATTCCCTCTCCACCATCTACCTCCAGAACTGTGCAAAACCAACCATTTGACTAATCCAATACACACCCATGAAACATTATCACATACCCGTAATCAGTCACATCACAAAAGCCTCACCTGTGAGCACATGAGACTATGGAGAGACATCTAGATATAAGTGATGACATCAAGGATTGAATTTGTCTTTCTAATTTAATTTACATTTACACCCATCCTTGGCACATTCTGAGGTAACTGGACATGCATGGCATCTTAGTCACTTTTTTGTCACTGGGACAAAATACCTAACAATTGCCACTTAAAAAAGAAGAGGTTTATGTTTATTCACAGTTTTAGTCCACAGTTGACCGGTTTCAAGGCAAAAGAGGATGACAGGACACATGGGGGAGACAGTGCTCATTAGCTCATTCGTGCTCATTGTGCTCACAGGAAACAGAAACGAAGAGGTAGGAAGAGAGATACGCTCTTCCAGATCCTGCCCCTTCTGACCAGGTCTTGCTCATAACGATGAGAATATTGAGGGTCATTTTAGATCTAAACCTTAAAATTTTTCCTGGTTCCTCAAAAGCTCATGTCAATCTCATTATACAAAATACATTTAGTTCATCTCTAACAGTTACCAAAATCTTAATAGTTTCAGCAAGTCCAACTCCAAAGATTTATCTGAAACTTAAAGCAAAGTATTATCTGTGAACCCCTTAAAAATAAAAATAAAGTTAACCACTTTCAGCATATAATGGCACAGGGTGAACACTGACATTCCAAAAGGGAGAGACAGAAGAATGGAAAGAAGAGAACCAAAGGAAAGCTGACACCCAGTAGGGCAAACATTCAATCTTATCATCCCATGTTTGACACCTGGTTGTGAGATCTGAGCTCCAAAGGGATTGGCAAGCCCCAGTGTTAAGATCTCAGAGATTTTAGGTCCCATGGCTTCTGTCTTGGGATAACTGCCATTTCTACCTGTGGCATTCCTTATGAGATATTCCAGCTCCAACTTCCTGGGTCTCCTCTGCACCTTCGGCTTTGTTCTCCCACCTTCATACACTGTCCTCCGATGGGGTATGGCAGGGTCTCTTATCTTGTTCCCCATTTTTGCCTGGCCTCTCAGGATATCTGGAATATGGGAAATCTCTATTATTCCACAACTCTTGCAATCTGGATGCCTGTAAAACCAACATCATGTGGACGATGCCAAGGTCTGCTGCCAGCTTGAAGAGAAATGAGGCTCCTTGAATCATGGCTGTAGAGGTCTCTGAGTGCCTGGATGGCTGAGCATTGTGAAATGAATCTCAGACAATCAGTGAAATTTGATGGCACTTATGATCAGTTTAGTAATTTTGGAACAAACACAAATTTAGCTAGCAATTTTTCAACATACAAAGCATAAACTAAACTTTTGTGTAAATTCGACTAAAATAAGGTAGAAACTTCTTTCCTATGGTTTGATTTACTTGTTTTAGATCTCTTTTGGTTGAGCATGTGACTCTGAATATTGCAGCGTCTCTTCATATGTCCATTATATCAATTTTTTACCTTTAAACAAAGTCAGTTTTTTGCTTATAAAATATTTCTGTGTCCATTAAATGAAATGTAGCATATTACACTGAGCAAAAAAGGAAGATATTCATGTTACTATCAAGAGCAAACTGCCAGGCATGGTGGCTGTTGCCTGTAATCCTAGCACTCAGAGGGCTGAGGCAGGAGGATTGCTGCAAATTCGAGGCCAACTTGGGGTACAGGGTGAGCTCAAGACCAGCCTGAGCTGCACAGTGAGACCTTCTCTCAAAAACACCAAAAAAGAGAAAAAAAGCAAACTAAAATTTTCTTGTACAATATTGTCATCCAGCTGTTTTTATGTATAGATTTTTGGTGTATGTTTTGTGATATATATATATATGATATAATAGTAGATATGTATAATATGTAATATGAATAATGTAACAGACATGTATTATATACATAAAACATTTTACCCCTGTTGGTGCTGGGATATGAACCAGGGCCCTAAGCCCTTTAGCACTGAGAAAATTCTCCTGCATTCTCATTTATTTATATAATTCCAGATTTATTTATATAATTTCAGAATCACATAATCAAATTAGTTGTAGTTTTACTTTGCTTTTTGGTATTCTTTCTCTCTGCTTCACATGACCTCACCCTATATATGGGGAGGGAGGGAGAGAGAGAGAGAGAGGGAGAAAGAGATTGATTTTGTTTTGAAACTTAGGTCCCAGCTTGTTGTTATGAGAACAGGTACTAAGAATAGGATCTGAAAGAGCTGCCCTAACTGTGGCTTAAAACACAGCATGGCAAAGATCTATTTCTAGGTAGTTCTTTATGAGTGGATAAACTAACAGAAATGAAGCTAAAGGAATAACGATGCAAATGTGAAAGTTCTTTAAATGTATATAGTGGGGTATTTTCAATATTCTCAAACATTGTGTACCATCCATTTCCTTCTCTAGATTTTGGCTGGAACTTTCCTGTACTGGGTGAACAATGAACAAGAATTCCCAGCGTCGATTTCAATGAGTAACTGACTGTTTGAATGATTCTTGCTGGGTGTGGCAAAGCAGGAACATCCCCG